TGCCAAGCAATCATGAGGGCCTGGGTTTGAATCCTCAGCACACATATAAAATGCAGATGCGACTGAGCATCATGTAACTCTGGTATTGGTGGGTGGAGACAGACAGATCCCCAGAGCTTGCTGGCCAGCCAGCCTGGTCTAAAAGCAGAGCTTCCTGTTCAGTAAGAGGCTCTATATGAAGGCAATAAGCCAGAGAGTTATAGATGAAGACACCCAATGTCCTTGCTGACCTCCAAATGGGAGACATGGGCTCTCGCACCCACACACTCATGTGCATGCACCACACACACATATAACACACATAATACACAGTCACCAACATAGACCCCTGCCTCTGTTTTACACAGCTTTGGTTCCTATTATATCCATGTGCTGGTTAGCCAGAACTCAGTAAAATCTCTCCTGAATACACTTTTAACTTTTGGTTACCGATACCAATAAAAATGATCAAGTTTGTTCTGGAAGGCAGAAAAGCAAAGGCTTTGGAAAAAAAAAAAAATGGAGGAGAGGGAAGAGGATGGAGCTTAGTGGGACAGCACTTACCTAGAATGCACAGGATTTGGATAGCAACACCCAAACAGAAACAAAGAACAAAACAAAACAAAAAAGCAAAGCTAGGCTAAACACCCTGAAACACACACACACACACACACACACACACACACACACACACACATGCAAACAGACAAAACTCAAAAACCAAATGCAAGATGAAATTAAACCTAAGTCTGTTCAAGAAACTCTTTATAGAGCATCATTAACTTGTTTCTGAGAAGAGAGACAGCAGCTGAGGGTACTGAGGAGAGCGACTGGTCCCACACAAACGCCCAGCCCGGCTTCAGGCTCTCCTGCGGCGCTCTCTGGGAAGGACCATGGACAGTGTCTGAGTCCAGGCACTCTCTGCTCATGTAGGATTTATGCCCAGGATCCCAAAGCTATTTCTATCCTAGAAAAAAATCACCTCTTTCTTTTCCCAATCAAATTTGTGATTTTTCTCCAGTTCAACAATTCACACATTTCTAAACTTCCCTGTGGGTGCAAGTGTGAACCCGAATCTCACCAGCTTAGGAGACCTGGGCAATTGCTCAGGTTAGGGAGCAAAATGCTTGGGGAGACACCAGTCAGGTAGGGCGGCCCAATTAAGTCGGCTGTCACTCTCTCTCTCCCTTACGTACTCTCTTGTTCTCTCTCTCTCCTTCTGATGAAATGGTTTGAAACCTGTCACTTGTGCAAACGCAGCTTGTGTAGTATTTCACCTATGATGTTGTCAGCCAGTTTCTGATAGGCCTCTAGAATAAAGTGACGAATCATTGGTTGGGTCTGGGCCTTGGATTTGCATTTCTATGGTGTGAAACCCAAGTAGCCGCTTTAGCAGAACACAGGCCTCTTGCCTGGCTTTGAGAAAGCCCTTTCCAACACTGCATAGAAACACATTCCTCCTGTTCATCTGTGCTTACTGGTACCCCCAGCTGTCAGCAAAGAGACCTGGTATCAGGCTGTGGTTAGGAAGCAGAAGCAGGATCCGACCTCACAGGGAAGTCAGTCTCTTTATCATTTGCACATTCATTTTGCAAAGTTCTGAGCAGGGGTAAACACACCGAGATTGGTGCTCTCCTGGGCCAAAGAAGACTGTGGAATTCTCTAGAGTCTTTGCTTTGCTGAGCTGCCTGCGCCTGGTTGTGCAAGCCTCAGGTTACATTGGCTGAATTTGTTCTCAAGTGGGAAGATGCTGACCAGAAGAGAGACACATTTTCTTTCTTTTTAAAAAAAAGATATTTTATTTATTATTTTTATTTTATGTGTATGAGTGTATTGCCTATATGTATGTGAATGCACTGTGTCATGCAATGCCATGGAGGTCAGAGGGCATTGGATTTCACTGGAACTGGAATTAAGGATGGTTCATAGCTGCCATGTGGGTGCTGGGAATCAAACCCAGGACCTCTGCAAGAGCAGTTAGTGCTCTTAACCACTGAGCCCTCTCTCCAGCCCCAAGAGACACATTTTCAGACCTTCATTGCGAATACAGCTCAGTGGTATTAGTGCTCTTAACCACTGAGCCCTCTCTCGAGCCCCAAGAGACACATTTTCAGACCTTCATTGCGAATACAGCTCAGTGGTAGTGTGCTTGCCTAGCATTCGTTAGGCCCTAGGTTCAAATCTCAACATTAAAACAAATGACAAGCCAACCAACTCTCTGCCTGATGGCTTCTGGTCACAGTTATGTTCTAAGGATTACAAGTATGATGGAGAAGACATTCTAGTCTGCTTCTGTACCTTGTTAGCATCTAAGAGGTTCGAGCCACAATATCACTATGTAGCCATGGCTGGCCCAGAACTTGCTATGTAGGCCAGCCAGGCTAGCCTTGTATTTATTCACAGATATCTGCCTGCTTCTGCCTCCCAAGTGCTGGGATTAAAGGCACACATGTGCCTTGCTGACATAATTTCTATCTTCTAGGATCCTTTCCTATTTCACATAGGAGGCGAGCAGCAACTGTACCTAGTGAGTTCTAGATAATCGTGCCATTGTTTGTTTGCTTTTCCTCCCTGAATCATAGTGTTTGAGAAACCTTTCTTGGCTCTTACTAAACACTTTAAGAATTACAGTAGTATTTTTCCATAAAAACTATTTTAGGGTCAAAGGTCTCCATGAGGCAGGGCCTTTAATCTTGAGCAAGACCCCACCTCTGGTCTTTCAGGACATATGCCCATGTGTGGATAAGCCTATTTGACTCTTAGCAATGTGGGCTGCAGAGCTGCTGTCCATATAAAAAGGCTATGAGTAAATGTTATAAAGTGATTTAAGGTTCAAGCAAGGAGACGAAGGATGTAGCTCAGTTGGTAGAGTACTTGTCTAGTAGGTAGGAGACCCTGGGTTCAATCCCCAACACTGCCTAAACCAGGACCATGCCTCTAGTGTCAGTATTAGAGAGTTAGAGGCAGGAGGATCAGAGGATCAAGGTCATCCTCAGCCATAGTGAGTTAGTTTGAAGACAGCCTAGGCTGCAGGAGACTGTCACAACAAACAAACAAATAAACAAACAAACAAAAAACACCAACACAGACAGGATTCTGGAAAGGGTGAAAAGGGTGGGCTGAAGGAATCCTTAGAAATTAAGACACTTAACCGTAACTCCAGACTTGACATGATTGATTTTGGCTGCATCTGACTTTACCACAAGTCTAGCAGGTCACTTGGGGCAACCCTGGCTTCTTGACTTGCATGACTAACGCATTTTATTTTCAATGCTTTGACAGCTTATTTTCCTGTTGACAAGGGGGAACTGCCTCTCAAGGACTAGCTAATTCTTACAGTAGCCAACAACTCACCTGGAAGCACACTTTTCCTATGCAAACCAAGCCCATACCCAGCCAGCCACCTCCTCTATTGGTTCATCAGACACAAGGTCCCTTCTCTGATCACAGCAGGCCCAGCTCTCAGAAAACCAGACACAGACTTAAGACCTCAGAGCCCACCAAACTCATCCATAGTAGCAAACTCCAAGACTGCTTAGTTACGTGAGGCAGGCTTCTAAGACTCAGGGAGCTTTAAGGAAACTTAAACAACCTAGGGAAAACATTAGAGGATTCACAAGACCCCTCCCCAAGGTCATGTAAGTGGTAAATAATTGCAGGGGAAGAGGAGACTCTTCAGTGGAGCTGCCTGAAACTTTGGCAGGAAGCCCCAAGGATACAGCACTTGTGAGCTGTCACTAATGCGGGGATGGGCTTCTGGATGGTGGAGCTATCTGTAAATTACCCATGCTCAATAAATTCATTGGTTTACCAAGCTAGACATGGGTGAAATACTTTCTTTGGTCTCTTTTCAGTGCCTTGTCTAGGGTGAACAGATGCTCACGTCTCCCTAGGAAAAGTCTGAAGACATCTGTCTTGCCTACTCTTGCCCATGAGAACTCAAATAAAGGCTGTTGCCCACATTTCTCCCTTGCTCTATCCAAGAACCCGGCCCTTCCCTATATACTCTCTTTCCTCTTCCATGATGTAATGTGCCCCGGGTCCTCCTGGAATCTGAGAGTGTGACAGACTGTTTTCAACAAGGGTCATCTCCTGATTGGTTAGCTTTGCCACACCTAAATAATCAACTCTGTATTTTAAAACCTGGATACTGAAATAGGATCTGACAATCACTGGCATCTAATGTTTTCAGCTGGAACAACAGTCTGTCTTTTCCTGATACCAGAAGATTCACCAGAAAGGGTCTGGGTTCCTCATTCCAACCACAGAACCCCCTCAAAATAAGGGTGGCCACTTTCTCATTTGTCCAAGGATAGTACAGAGCTAGTGTCCTTCTAGATGCACAGAGAAGAATTCCTTACAATCAACTAGCGCCATGGGGAAGAAAGGCTTGTTTTAGAGAGCGAGGTTGGGAAAGACCACATCTATGGTCTGAGTGTGAGGTTTCAGCTCCTCTGCCTGCCTGTTGTCCTCTCTTGTCTTTCTCTCTGGACAGAGCTGATAAAGCAAAGCTGCTGTGAGCTTGAAGCTCTGAGTTGAGTTGTCTCCCATCTCTTGTAGCCATAAACCCAGCTCCCCTTGATACCCACCAGGACAGCCTCGAACTATAACTTGACTTTTATCCAGTGCCTTCCTATCCAGTGACTCTTGGCCTATAGGCTGGGTCACATGGCATAAAACTACTCCATCCTCCAAATAAGAGCAAGAAATTCCCTTTGTTCTCCATGTTCTCATGTTTTCTGTGATGGCTCCCTCTCCTAATGTAGCTCTTCTTCGGCACTGAAGGGGCTAGCTGTCCCTGGAGGGCCCCATCATCGCTGCCTATGGCCAGGATGTTGTAACTCTCCTAATTAAGATCTCCTAAGGGTAATTCATCTTAGCTCCCTTTCTACCAACTCATTGAAACATCTGTTATTTAAAACATCAGGTGCCAATGGGCACCCTCAATACGAACAATTCACCTTGCCAGAAAATGCCAGCATGGATGTGGGCCTTACTTGTGTGACCCTGGTGAAGGTTACCTGTGCTCGGTGTTCACCCACAGCAAACTGTATGACAGCCACACCCGGGCTGTGGCTGTCCTCGATCCTCTCCACGGTGCTGGAGTCGATCTTGAGGTCATTGCTGATCTCTGCGCTCTGGATGAAGTCCTCTGTCTTCAGGTCTTCCACTTTCTTCAGCTCCCCGTTGGCCAGCTGGATGATGGAGCCTTTCATAAAGTATGGCGGCAGTGTGGGTGGTGCCGCGGCAGGGGATGCCACTGACTGTACCACTGGCAGGTGGATCTGGGCCTGCACCATGGCTGGGTAGGCGGCCTGGGTGACCAGGGCCTCCGGGTTGAAGTTCTCACTCTTGGGCAGGGCTGTGGAGACGAACGTGTGAGGCACTGCAGCGAACTGGGGTGATGATGTGACTATGGCCGAGGCTGCCCCAGGCGTGTCCATGTCAGGGCTGCCCACTGGGATGAGAAGAGGCTGGGTGCCGGGGATCACTAGGTGCTGGGGTAGGCTGCCCGCATAGGTGATTGCTTGCTGCTGGCCGCTCAGGTAGCCGATGACAGGAGGCTGAGTCCCAGCATAGAAGGCCGTGGCTGGCAGGCCCACTGGGAGAGGCTCTGAAGCACTGTGCGTGGTCTGAATGACTGTGTGGGGGGACAGCGCGTAGGACCTGTGGCTGGCCTTCCCTAAGTGTAGGCCGCTCTTGTCATTGAGGGTAGAGGGGGAGGCCTCCCGGTGTGTGGCCTGCTGTACCTCCAGGTCAGCAGAGGGTGTGTTGCTGTTGGGCAGGACCATCACAGATGCACGAACCCCCGAGGTATCCCTACTGCTGTAGTCCGCTGGGCTTGGGTGGACCACCACGTGCCTGGACTCATACGGGTGGGGCACGGACTTGCTGCCAGCCTTTCCCAGGCCCAGTTCCACGGAGGATGGTGCCCCGAACCTCCGACTCTTCTCCATCTCCCCGTTCAGGACCTCCTTGGCCTGCATGACCTGTTGAAGCCTGCTGCTCTCGGCTTTTTTGGTGGACTCTCGAGGAACAAAGTGGCCTCCAGCGTCACTATATTGCACAACTACCTGGGACGAGGGCCCCAGGGTGAGTGTGTGCGGGATCATCGTCTGATGGGGGTGGAGGTGGACTGGGATGGCTGGAGGAGATGCTGCCCGCCCAGAACTCTGCGGAGAGCTGGAAATATGAACATATTGGTTCTGCTGGGTGGGTGGGGGGGACCCGGGTGTGACCAGCCCCGAAGCCCTGCTGAGGTGCTGCTGCGGAGGGGGCTCAACCTTATGTCCTGGTGCCTGGCTCAGACTGCCCATGTTGGCCAGCAGGGTGGAATAGGCCTCCAGCTGGGAGCGCTGCGATGGAGTGGTGGCCCCTGCAGCACAGGCCACGGCACTGGTGACGGGGTTGCCTGATGGGGAGATCAGCTGGGAAGGGATGAAACCTGCATAGGGCCCACTGTACTGGGAGGACCCAATGAACTGGAAGGTGTGTGACAGGTGAGCGTACTGCACAGGAGACACTGGGGTCCCTGACTGTGGGGGAGGGTACACCGTGGGCAGCGTGGTGGCTGTGGGGACTGACCTGGGGGCGCTGGGCGGGGAGTAGTCCAGCCCCGTGGACAGTGCTTTATGTAAACCCATTCCTTGTTGTAAACCAAGCTCCCCCGCAGTCCCTGCTGGTCCATGCCGCCCACCCCCATGGCCCCGGCTGCCAGGGGTGCTGGGGAGCCATGCCACGCCCTCAACACAGTGGTTGTCACTGGGCAGGGCAGTGGCCTTCTCCTCGGAGGGCCGGCTGGTGGCGGGGATCTCACGTTTCTTGGGAGGCAAGCATTCATTACTCCGCTCTTGGTTGGATTTCATTTTTCGCCGTCCCCCCTCCACGGTGGCTGTTTCACTGTCTGGCTGGCTCTGATTTTAGTCTGATAGACACAGAGTCACATTGGATTTCGGTAGGGGATCCAGGCTCTTCATGAGGAATCATCTCCCCGTGGTTCGCTAGGCCAGTAGCAGCAGCTCCGGACTCTGAGAAGAGGGAAGAGACCGAGCAAGGGTGAGGGGGACAGGAAAGAGAAGAGGGAGGAAATCAAAACATCAGCTCTGGGGGGGGGGGGGGGGAGAATCACCAAGCCAAACCAACCAACCAACCTAAAAAACATCATTACCCACAAGATTAATAGGAGGCCTCCGGATTGTATAGGAATTCTAAAAGCAGATTATAGCTCTAAAGTTAAAACAGGCAAAATACTGGCCAGGCCCATGAGTGTATCATAGAGAATTAAGATACTGAACAAGTTTCATGGTGCACATAAAAAAAAAAAAGGACTTATTTATTTATTTGTATAAGTGTTTTGCCTGCATGAGTTTACATACATGGAATTTGTGTAAGTGCCCAAGGAGGTCAGAAGAGGGCATTGGATCCCCTGGAACTGGAGTTTCAGATGGTTGTTAGCTGCCATGTAGGTGCTGGGAACTGAACCCAGGTCTTCTCCAAGAGCAGCCAGTGCTCTTAACCAATGAGCCATCTCTCCAGCCCCAACCAAGGATTCTCCTGACTCTGGTTCCCAGACATATACTACAGACATATACTACAGCGTCTGGACTTTACATGGGTTCCGGAGATCCGAACTCATGTCCTCAGGCTTGCATGGCAAGGCCTGTAGCCACTGAGCAGTCTCCCTACTCCAAGGTTATACTTTCCACCTAGTTTCAGACTTGCGGTAGGGGCAGTGATTTAATAGTTCTTGTTGATTTCGTTTCAACATTACCAACAGGTACTATGAAAATGAAAAATGACAGAGCAAGAAGCTGCTCTTTCCTCCTGGTTTTGATCAGGTAGGTAAGAACACTAGTGTATACAGGAAAGTGGAGGTTTAGACATCTGGTGTCTGAACACCAGAGGATATTTCAGTAAGGACAGGATCCTTCATGTTGACAAGAGAGGCACTAAACAGGGGACTGGAAACAAGAGGTAAAAAAATTCATGATGAAAAAATGAGTAACTAGGGCTGTGCCTGTGGATGTAGAAAGCCCTAAGGTGGACGGCGAGCAAAATATGTCTCAAATAAAGAGAACTTCAGGTCATTCTTTCACACTCAGTATTTACAAATTCATTAAAAGGACAATAAAATTAAACCACAAGAGCATCAAAAGAGCTGTCAGTTTTAGCTGTCTGAAAAAAACATGAATACTGATCTTCAAACTCTGGAAATCACTCTTAAGAAAGGGGGTTGGGGAGCTGGAGAGACGGCTCAGCGGTTAAGAGCACTGATTGCCCGAGCTTGGCTCCCAGCACCTATGTAGTGGTTACCAATGTTCATAACGCCAGTTCCAGGGGATTTGACACCATTTTCTGGCCTCTGTGGGCACTGCATGCATGGGTGAACTTATGTACATTCATGTAAAACACTCATAAACATAAAATAAAAATAAATAAAAGTAAAATATTTGAAAGGGGATTGACTGGTAAGTTCCCATGCTCTTACGTCCCCTAGCAAGGGAATGCTCATTACTGAAGTCTACTAGGAGAACTGTTCCGTGCGCCCCCTGCTGGGAGCACAGGTGCACTGCCCCATAAAACGCCCCAGGATTCCATTAGGGTATTCCTGCAACAGTGATTATGTCAGAATCGGAAATGAGACATTTGCATAGAGTAGTTCCAGCCAGTGAAGGAATAGGTTAATTAGCTCACGGTTGCTCGAGGGAGGAAAACACAGGGGCATGAAAGTCCTTTCAAAGCCAAGTAAAATGTCAAACACATTCAGGAAGAGCCATTAGCAACTCGTAAACAGAAAACTGCCTGCACACGTGACTGTAGCTTGCAAAACTAGCAAACCTGTGAAGGCTGCCTCGGTTCTCAGAAGTGCAGGAGTTTATTTATGTGACTTATCTGGGAGAGGCTGGCTGGCTTGTCAGCCCTGAACGCTAAGTGGGCTGGGCTTCTGCTCATGGATTATGAAGATGTATCAGGTTATTTTATCAGTGCTGGTTATCAAACCCAGGACCTTGTGAATGCCAGACAAGCAGTCTACCACTTAGCTCTATCTCCCAGCCTGATATAGCGCCTCTGACGAACAAATTCAAATTTATTCTTTTTTTTTTTTTTTTTTTTTTTTTTTTTGACAGGGTCTCCCTGTAGCCCCAGCTGTTCTCAATGTGGATTTAGCTCTGTCTCTAGGGTGACTTGCATTCAGGTAGGAGATTATATACCTTTTCCAGGCTGTGCAAAGTGAATATTTCTAGAAAATTTATTCTTTTGAAAATCTATTGATTGATAAACAGCACCTTTGCTAGACATTAACCCTGAGAAACAGGGCTGGATCAGTTAATGAAGAAGGAGTAACTCAAGCTAAACCGATACAAATCTCAACCCACTGCCCTAGTACAGTTATTTTTTAATTTTAAAAGTTTGTAATAAAAAAGGTATTTGTTATAAATGTGGTGCAGTGCGTGTGTCAAGGCATGTGTGGAGGTCAGACTACAACACTGGAATTGCTTCTCTCCTTCCACCGGTCAGTGGGTTCTAGGAATTGAACTCGGATGGCAAAGCTTGCACAGCAAGTGCTTTTACCCACTGAACCATTTCATTGGCTGGAGTAATGGTTTTTAATTTGTTCTACACTTTAGTTTGTGTGTGCATGTGTGTGAGCGGGCCACGGTGTTCATGTGGAAGTCGAGGGCGAATTGTGAGAATTCTCTCCTTCTACCACATGGGTCTCGGGGCTAGAACTCAAATTGCCAGGCTTGGTGGCAAACACCTTTACCTGCTGAGCCATATTGTTATCCTGAATAATTGGTTTTACTAGAAAGGTCTTGTTATGTGGTCCAGGTCTGGCCCCAAACTTCTGGGCTCAAGAGATTCTCCTGACTCAGACTCCCAAGTTGTTACTCTGGATGACATCTCCCTAAATGTGGGGGTGTTTACCAAGCACCATGGAGATGACGGGGGCAGCGCTAATCCTAGGTGATGACGAGTCCTTTCTCTTTTCTGTTAGCTCTCTGCCTGTCTCTTCAGTGAATGAATGGTATTGGAACCTGCTTGATTTTCAGTAAACCACTAGGGGGCACCATACCACGCCACTATATTGAGTGATTAAGTGTGGGGATGACAGAACGGAGAAGTCATTGATGAAAAGGAAATTAGAGCAGGAAAGTGAAAGGAAAGAGAGAGAATTTCTGCTTTTGGGGTTTCATTCTAATTCTAATCACAAACAGCCTGGGTTAGGGGTCGTGGAGTTTACCTCTGGGGTATCCCTGCCAAGACAGAAAGGGTTCTTCAAAACATGGGAATACTTAATAACACAAATGTGAAGTTAGCGGAGAGGCACACGTGCAGCCTACACTGGTTCAATATTGCTGGGAAAGCATAAAGGGCCTAGAGATGAATCAGGACAAGCTGATTTACTACCTATGTTTGCTTGTTTTTCATTTTTGTTTTTTTGGAGGGAGGGGTATTTATTTATTTATTTATTTACTTATGTCTTTTTGAGACAGGGTCTCCCTGTAGCCTCAGCTGGCCTGGGACTCACTATGTAGACCAGGCTGGCCTTGAACTCACAGAGATCCACCTGCCTCTGCCTCCCAAGTGCTGGGATTAAAGGTGTGCACTACCACACCCAGCCCGGGGAGGGGTATTTTTTTAGACAGGGTCTTGCCCTGTAGTCCAGGCTGGCCTCCAACCCTCTGTTCGCTTGTCTGCTGGGATTACAGGTGTGCGCCATCATGCCTGGCATGAATACTCAGTGGTTGCCGGTGACCATCACTGAATATATTCATCTAAAGCATGTGTCTAATTCATTTTGTGTGTGCATACATGTTTGTGTGTGTAAAGGTTCAGTGTGCTCATGTGTGTGTATAGGTCTGAAGTCAGACCCAGCTGTCCTGCCTTAGGTGATGTCCACCTTGTGTTTTTGAGACAGGGTCTCTCAATGGCTTGGGATTTGCCAAATAGGCAAGCCTGGCTGGTCAGGAGCCCTGGGGATCCATATTCAATGTGTGCTTTTCCAATAATAATGTTGAAGCAGTACGGGCTGCATGTGTGGTGCTTTGCTAACATCTGTGGTCTTCCCCACATCCCACATCCAGCGCTGGGATTGCAGGCATGTCCTACCAGCCTTTTTGTTTTAGGTAGGGGTCTCCCTATAGCCCCAGCTGAAACTTGGTGTACAGACCAGGCCGGCATCCATTCCACAGAGATCTGCCTGCCTCTGCGCCCCCCCGCAAGTTTTTAAGGGTGTATATTACCACACGTGGCTTGTTTTGTTTTCAATTAGGTTCTGGGGCTTGAAATTAGGTCCTCGTGCTTATAAAGCAAGCATTTTACTCACTGACTTATCTTTTCAGCCCCACATTAAGCATTTATGAAACTACAAATGTAGTGTCTATAATTACAGTGTTCTCTCTATCCACTTTTTAATTTTATCCCAGTTGTATAAGGCCTTGCTGTGAGCAGCACTGCCAATGTCCCCAGGAGCTCGTTAGAAAGGCAGGAGCCCTAGCCCCGTCTAGAATGACTGAGTCAGAATCTGCCCTTTGACAGGCTCTCTGGGTGACTCCTGTACACGAGGGAAGGAAAAAAAAAAGCTGAACTTCTAAACTATTAACAAATCCAACACCTTTAGCCTCTTTCTTTTTGTTTATTTATATTTTATGGGTATGAGTGCTTCGCCTACATGTATGCAAGTGTACCTGTACATGCAATGCCCACAGAGGCCAGAAGAGGGCATTGGATCTCCTGGAACTAGAGTTACAGATGGTTGTTAGCCGCCATGGGGGTGCTGGGAACTGGACCCTGGTCTTTTGCAAGAGCAGTCAGGGCTCTTAATTGCTGAGCCATCACCCCTCCTGCCCCTGTAGCCTCTTCCTAATGGAGTAGGCATTGAGAAAGCCAGCCAGGTGCTGGCTATAAACAGAAAGCTGAGGAGTCTTGTGGGTAAACTGGTAATATTAACATGATGCTCAGTTGTTTCCTTTGAGGTCATTAAATCCAACACAGCTTTAAATAACAAATTACTCCCCCTTTTTTG